AAGCCTCCGCCAGGGGCTCTGGGTGCTGCTGCGCCCAGGCTGGGGCTGGGGACTGGGCTGTGCCAATGCTCCTGCTGGGACTCAAACCTGGAGGGTCCTGGCTAGAGGGTCTTGCCCCCCGTGCTCAGGCTCAGACATGCTGCACTGGGGGCAGGAAGGGATTTTCTCCCCTGGTCAGACTGGTATGGCCTAGGGGGTTGCCTTCCTCTGTAGCGAGGGCACGGCCTTGGCCTGGCGTCTCTCGAGCGTATGTTGACAACCTTTCAGAGAAGCAGGACGTTGGCTGCCGTGGTCCCCCTGCTTTCCCTGGGGCAGGTTCAGGTGCGATGTCTCTTGCTGTGTTGGACTGTCGTTTAACTAAGAGGCTGGACAGCGCGTTTGTCGGGGCTGGTTTGGCCAGGGCGGATCCTGCCTCAGGTGGGTCGGACTGGATGTGCCCTCTGGAGCTCCCTTCCAGTCTGACCTCTCTGACTGGTGGGGGTGAGCCGGGAATAAAAGTCGGGTCTCCTCTGCTGAGGTCCGCGTGGTGATCTCCGAGCTTCAAAAGGCTGTTTGTTGGTCACCCAATCCTCAGTCAGTACCGGGTTTGGGCAGAGTCTTCCCTGCACCTTAGCTCCTGTTATTTTGGGCACCGGGGTGGGAGGGCGCCAGCCCGGCCTCCTGCTTTTGTTGCTCATTGTGCTCAGGCTGCCCAGGTCTGCGCGCTCTCAGGGCTGTTGCCGGCAAGCAGCCTCCTGGAGCTGGGTGCGATGCAGAAAGAACGACTGGAATTTGGGTTCGGTGGTGAAAGCTCAGGGGGTCGGTTGTCTCTGAGGACAGCAGCTAGCGAGTCTGGGCAGCCATCAGCCCGGCTCGTGAGACGGTAAGCTATGCCTTACATGAAGCTGATGGCCCCGAAGTCACTACACGCATAAGTACCCCATGCTTATAGCTGGGGTGCCCCCACCCCGTTCCGATTCTTCTCTCTCTCCATTGAGACGTCCCCTTTTTTCTCCCGTCTCGACCAAGGCCGGACACCTTTAGCTCATCCCTCGCCAGCTGCAGCTGCCCCCTGCCACGTTGGGGCACCTAGGGCTCGCTCCCTGCTGCTTTCTGATATCTCCAGCTCACTCCCCGCTGAGTCCAGCTGGCCTCTTGTTATCTTTACTACCAAGTTCTAACTTTTTCCTCCTCGGTCTGTTTAGCTCCTGTTTCTTGCATTGAATCAGCGTCCTTGCTCACCGCCTCTCTTATCAGGTCACCCAACGGTCAGGGAAGCCTGCTGCCCCCAAGGTCTTTTGCGGTGCCTTAGCTTAACTATAGCTTAGCATGACTACGGCCTCGCTAGCATGACCGACACTGCCACGGTTCCTGGGGGAAGATGGGAGAAGAGCTCTCAGTGTTTCAAGGATAATCCTTCTCTGTACCATGGATGTGCATTGCTGTGTTGTAATGGGCCTGGATGTTAGCATGGTGCAGGAAAACATATCTGCGCTGAGCTGAAAACGTCCTTTCGTGGAGCCCCAAATCAGGCCTAGTCTCGAGGCAGAGGCACCACCCAGAACTGAGATAGAGAGTGACACGTAGGGGCTAAGCAGGGCGGTGGGAGTCAGCATTTCCCTGGCTTTTTCTTGGAGAGTATTTAACACAGTCTGTAATTCAGGGAAACGGCAGGGGCTTCCCTGGAGAAACCTTCAATAGAGGGTCCTCCTGCCAGTGGCTGCCAGCTTGGTGCTGCCAACGGGTGAGGTAGCCAGCGTAACTCTGTGGACTTTGTTATGGGGAGGAAAGTTTCGGGGAAGCAGGGGGGACGGTCCCTGCCCCGGTTCCAGGGTTCCCGTTATGCTGGGTTATGCCGTGTAACTCGTTAGTCATCTGAGGCTTTCTGCTTCCCCCCCCCTGGGTAAGGGCAGCCAGTGACCCGAAAAACCACCCCCTGGGTAAGGGCAGCCAGTGACCCGAAAGGCTGCGGAAATCCTGGCAGCATCGTGGACTCGGCATGTGACTTGCCAGGCCGCTCAGACAAGCACCTGTTTTAACCATCTGGAGAATGCGCTGGCAAACTCAGACCCAGGGGCTAAGCTGCAGGAGCCCAGGGTGTCAGAGCCCAGGCGTCTGGGCTTGGCTCTTTGCACCTACCCCACTTCTTGCTACATGTCAAGGGGGTTTTAAGCTTCCCGCAGAGGCGCTGGGTGCTGCAGCCCGGGCTGGGCATGGGACTGGGCTGCGCCAATGCTCCTGCTGGCACCAACCCCGCGGGGTCTTGCCTGGTTAGAGGGTCAAACCGACGCTGCACTGGAGCAGGATTTCCCCCCTGCTCAGACTGGTCCAGGCTTGAGGGGGGGTTGCCTTCCTCTGCAGCAGAGGCACGGCCTCAGCCTGGGGTCTCTGGAGGGTACATTAACAACCTTTTATAGCAGCAGGTCGTTGGCTGCCGCGGTCCGTGGCTTTACCCATGGCAGGTTTGGGGTGTTATATCTGGTGCTGTGTCACAGTTGGCGATAATCCTACATAGGGTTTGCATTTATGGACGTGTATGGGGTGGTCTGGACAGGGCTGGTCCTGCCGTGGGCAGGGGTTAGACTAGATGTGACCCCTGCAGATCCCTGCCAGGCCCACGGCTGTCTGATCCCATGACCCCCTGGCACCACAGGTCTCTGTCTTGAAGCACTTCCCTCTGCAGGCATGGGCACGGCTGGGCTGAGGAGAGAAGGAGCCTGCGGCTCACCTGGCGCTTCTCAGCCTCTGTGCAGCATCCAGGGATCTGCACGTGTTTGTGCAGCTGAGACAGTGATGGGCTGGAGAGAGGTGTGGGAAGGCTGTTCCAGGCCCCAAGACCTGTCCTGGAGATGGCAGTGGTCACACGGCCACCGCAGTGAGGGCTGGCTTTTAGGACGGCCATACCCAGAAGAGGGGAGGCCAGGCCCAGGATCCCCGCACAGACAGGAGGAGCTTTTCCAGGTTGTATTTGCTGACGGTGCCCACGAGGCCTGCGTGTACAGCTCATCGATGGTCTGGCTGAAGTGCCTGGGAGCGGGGCGGTGCAGGCAGGCTGGCTGGGCCCCAGGCAAACCTCACCTGAGCTCTCTCAGGTTGACTTTTTCTTCCTTTTGTTCTTGGCTGTAGTCCAAGCAGCTCCCGCCGACCACACGTGCAGACCCTCCTGGCACTGCCCAGTGGAACCAGTTCTGGAGGGTTGCCCCAGGAGCCAGAAATGTTTCCAAAACACACGGCACGAGGAAATACCGCAGGCTGGGGCTGCCCAGCAGAGCAGCCTCAGAGCTCCCCTGTCCCCGGCACAGGCTCATCCCCGCCACCTACGGCAGATCTGGCGTGGAAGGAGGACTTGGGGAGTCGGACGGACGGATCAAGGGATGCATTTGCAGCGTGTGTGCCCGCAATCCGGGAGATCTCAGCCCTCCTGGTCAACTCGGTTCTGGTCTGACCATGAACACTGCCTTGCGTTTGGGTTTGTCACCTCTCTCACTAACATTAGTCTACTTGAAGTTCAAAGGTAGCAGCAGCTCTTAGCCCAGAAAGGGAGCTGGTGGCTGCGCACATAGCTCTTCCTGCCTCTGCTGGCTAGTGCTACGTGGCTCAAACGCTTCTGGAAGTGACTTGCCGAGCAAATGTAGCAGCTCCTGTGTCCGTAATGCTGCCTTTCCACGTGTGTTTGGTGAACGTGCCTGCCGTAACATAGTGAGCAGGTTTCAAACAGCCTCGCAGACCCTGGGCCCTTCCTTCCCAATGCTACGTTCAGCCTTCGGTCGGGCGCCCACCCCGGGCTGGCTGCCGGCAGCACTTGCTGTTCCTCTGCTTGCTGTGGATCTGTGATTGTTGGTGACACTGTGCTCTTGGTAAACTGGTCTTGTCATTAAAGTGCTCCATTTCATCTTCCTCTGCTCATCACTGACACTTGCTTTTAAATCCTGGCCTCACCCCCATTTTTACACCGCCCAGCTGGGCTTGGAGACTAAGTGAAGCTAGAGCCAGGCGCAGGGGCCTGCTTGCAGCATGGTTGGGTCAGGGCGGCCGTCAGCAAGGATGGGAGCTTAGCCTGCAGTTGGGTTAAAGCTTTGGATGGTCCCAAGTTTAACTGCCCTTCTTGAGGAGCCCTTGTCCCATGCAGGAGGAGCTGGGTGACCCCAATGATCCCACTGGTGACATTCTGGGTGCAGGCAGCCCCTCCGAACCCAAAGGACACGGCCAACTCTCCTGCTGGGTGACGCGACCTGCGAGTCCACGGGTCCCAGCTTGCAAAGTTCCTTTTACCTCCCCCTTTGCTTGAGGTGGGTCACAAATCTCCTGCAACCCTTTCTGGAGTCCAGCCTCATTCCCTGGATCTCGCGGCCTCTGGGACTTTGCTCCACAGGCTGGGTTTCTGCTGCAGAGCCCTGGGGCCTCTTGTTCGCTGGAAAGATCCAGTCCTTTAGTCTAGCAGGTTCTTACTAGTGAGAAGCAGGAAGGACCGACCGGTTCCTGTGATGTCCTTCCAGAAGCAGGAAGCATCTGTCCAGCTCTCTCTGTCTCTTCACTCTTCTCTCCTCTGTAACACTCCTCTTTGCCTTCTCCCATCGCATTTAAACACCACCACAATCCCTAACCACCCTGAGCTTCTCTCTTGAGCTTCTCAGTCTCTGCTCGGTCATTTCTGACGTGCACGACAATCGATCCCCGTTCAATATAGGGCCCCTCTCCTGGTACCTCGGGGTAAATCCTGCATCTGGTTTGCCCTGGAGCAGAAGCAGGGGCCACCTGTGCAGTGCAAGGTATTTTACTCTCTCAGAGGAGGCTACTTGCTGCTGGGCTCTTCAGGACTGCGGGGAAGACTTCCAAAGGCACAAGCAACACCCAGGTGCATTAGCGCCCCTCGCAAGCCATGGAGGGTCAGGCCTGGGCCTCTCCATAGATAGCTGCAAGCAGTCAGGGCCCATCTGCAGCCCCTCTTGAGGTCTGGAGAGCCTAGGGCACTGCCGGGGATGGTGCTGAGCCTCCTGTCTAAAAGCTCTTTGTCTTTGCAGCGCGGCACGTCCTTCAGAGTGGCGTCAGCCCCAACCTGTGCAACGAGGACGGCCTCACAGCACTGCACCAGGTAAGCAGCCTGCCCGGCCCTGCAGCTGGTGCCCGTCCGGCTCGGAGCCTGCCCCCACAGCTCTTCCATGTCAAA